GAACTGTTTTTCTTGTTTATTTTTTTATCCAGTTTAGATCACAAAACTAGTTGTTAAAATTCCGCTTTGCTCAATAGACTACATGTTGAATAGAAAAATGACCAAATAGATGTTTTTTTGCCTAAACTTCTTGATGTTATAGCCCTGATCTCCAGCTTGTACTTTGGAGTCTCTGAAGCAGCTAGATGCTGTTATATTCACACTGTTTTAGTTTTTCTTCTCAACTTTGTCAGCAACAAATTTGTTTATCTGCAGGTGCAACACAACAGTGGTTTAAATATTTTGGCACAGGGGTATGCTTGGGTGCTCTGTGTTTTCAGCAGCGTAACTGTTTTCAGCATCACTGCTGTGATGGTGCTCTAATGCGTAGCCTTGTAATATCACTTCTTTTTAACTCATCTGTACTCTGCTCCTCTTAAGGAAATGTAATAAAACTGAAACCAAAAGCAGGTACTTTCATGTTACATCTTTAGATTAACAGCTTTTTTCCTAGCAAACTGTATTCTTAAAAGTAAGCAAACTGATTGAAACCAAGCTGCTTTAATGATGTAGCTATAGAGGTTAGACTTTTTTTTTTGGAACCGGAAACATTAGTGGCAAATTACAAGACTTTTTCCAACATGTTAAATACCATTGTAATAAGCACGGAAAAGTGAATATGGAAGGGCAGGGTGGCTACTGAACTAGGCTGCCTGGCCTGGAGGCTAAAACTTGAGGTCATCTCCAACCTGTCCCAGGATAGCTGTGACCAGTTGCTGTTGTCATATGGGGGCTCCTAAGCCTCCATTCACATTTTTGTCTAAAATTTTGAACTCAGGAACCACTCTGCATCAGGTTCACTGAGCAATCCATTGGCAATCAAAGTGAGAAGCATGTGGATTGAACTAATCCTTGCCCCACAAGTAACTCAGATGCAACAGGATGTTTTGAAGAGCAGTTCTTTATGTACCTCTTCTGATAAAAGAAATTAATTTTTCAGATCTTAGTCCAAAACCTTCTAGTGTGCGAGTGGGAAACCCATCTCTGAGTGGGTATGCCATACTGCAGTGCTACTCTATAACCTCTCACCATGCTTTTTCCCAGATTCATTTTCTTGCATGCCCCCTCACTAGCCAGATCTCTTATCATATTTATCTGCAAACCTGTTCCTGTCAGTTTATATCTCTGGGAAGAACTCTGATGGTGTTGTGACCTACTGACTCAGAGTTGAGCTATCTCTGGGATCTGCTGGCGTGACCTCCTTGAAGGATTCTGCATGCAGTTATGGGGGGATTGTCCTAGAGAAGTCAAGTATAGGACTGCAGCCATGGGCTCCAGCAGTCTTGCTTTGCAGCGGAGGAAATCTTACACATGCTAATCACAAATACAGTTTCTCAAAAACCATTCCCTGAGGATGAGAAGAGGCTTTTTGTATTTTAGAAAGCACAAATAGATTCTGAAGGACTTTTGACCCTAATCAGCAGTGGTACATAAAGCACTATCTTAGGTGGTAAGAGATCTTTAAAAAAATCAAAATATGAAACACATTAGCTTTTTCAAATTATATTAGCTGCTCTGCTTTGTCCACTGTTGTCTTTAGTGTTAGAAGCTGATAATGCTTTACTGGCTTGTGGTGTTGGTATGGAATCTGTGATCATGAAATAAAGCTGTGCATTCTTGTCTAATGATTTTTTATTTCTATTTTTAGCTGAAGTTACAGTTCTTGTACTCCTGGACTCCCTGCCAATTTTTTTTTTTTAAATTGCCAGTGTTATAGATTTGCTGCATTGCTTGTTTAATTCTGATAAAATAGCTGATAGTTGGCAAGGATCCTAGATGATAAAATTTACCATGAAGTAAACAGGTTTTTGTTTTTAAAAAGAGAATTTTCCAAGGCTTCTGCGTTATACAACAAATTGCTCTTTTTTTCTACTTAACTAATTTATTGTTTCTACTTGAAATGTAAGTGTTTGAACAAGTGAGAGAGTGCAGCTGTCAGAAGATTAACCAGCTGAAAACTATTGTCAGCATTAATTTTGCTCTAATAAATGACTCTCTGAAGCTATTTAGCAGTCTGTAATCTAGATACAAGGCTATTGACCTATGATGGATAGTACTGGATTTTGTTTGTAAGCTTTGACTTAAATTGTCTACTTAATTTGCTGCAGGTCAGATCACAGGATTAGTGGTAAAGGCCATTATGTGGTTTGAATAAAAATAGCTAGAGGAATGGAATGAAAATCATTGTGTTTATTAATGTAGCAATCTTTGCGGTCATGTACCTAGTAAACTGGTAGCCAACAAGATGACAATGACCTGTTTGTGTTAGCTCTAAATCTAAGATTTGCTCTTAGCCCAGTTTCTGTGAGTTGCCCGGGGAGTTGTTCAAGTGAGATTAAAGATTGGCTGCAAATAGGGTGTCTCTCAACCTGAGCAGGAAGATCTTTACCACTGTAGATATTTCAGTACCTCAACAGTGTTGTATATATAGAGTGATTTTTTTTAAAGCTGTTGGTCTGACTGAGTTCTTCTGGATGCTCCAGTTCTGGACTCACCAGTACAAGAAAGATACAGATTTACTGGAGTGAGTCCAGCTAAGGGCCATGAAGATGATGAAGGGACAGGAGCATCTTTCATATGAGGAGCGACTGAGAGAGCTGATACTGTTTAGCATGAAGAGAAGGCGGGGATCTTATCGATGTGTATAAAAACCTCATGGGAGAGAATGAAGAAGAGGGAGCTAGACTCTTCTCAGTAGTACCCAGTGACAGGACAGGAGGCAATGGGCACAAATTAAACCACATGAAATTCCATCTGAAACACAAGAAAAAACTTTTTTACTGTGAGGGTGGTCAAACACTGGAAGAGGTTGCCTAGAGAGGCTGTGGAGTCTCCATCCTTGGAGATACTCAAAAGCTGACTGGACATGGTGCTGGGCAACCTGCTCCAGCTGACCCTGCTTGAGCAGAGGGGTTGAACTACATGATCTTGAGAGGTCCCTTCCAACCCCAGCAATCTTGATTCTGTGATTCTAGGTTGTGATCTAGGTTGAGTAGCTACTTCATCAGTGGGAGCCTCTTTCCTCTACTCTGTTGTCTGTTTGCACATAATTGGTAGGTATTTACTATTTTTGAGACCTTGATCTGTCAAATTTGACTGAAATTCTTCAGTGACTTCAAAAGATGGTGCATGTTGGAAGGCAGGATGGGGAAAATAAATGCTTGACAGATAAAGGGGCATTTGTAGACATTGGCACACAGAGCAGTTGCGCAGAGACAGTGCATCAATTGAAATTTTTATGGGAAAGCAAACAAAAATTCTTCAAATTCTTCAGTGTGAGAAGCTGCAGTGTAACTGTCCTTGATGTCAGAAAGGAAGTCCAATACTGACCACTTCATTCTTTAGCTGTGGTACAGCACTTACATGGGCTCAAGGCTTTAAGTTGAGAGAAGCTCTGATTAGCCTGCTACGGTTGCCCATTTTATCAGAACTTTTTGTGCACAAACTTGTTTGCCATGGTGGCTTACCTGTGGCTTTATTTTTTTCTCTTTCTATTGTTTTTTATTGCATAATTTCATTTATTAATGGGGAACAAGAAAAACAGAAATGTCCTGGTTAAGTGCATTATGTTTCTAAGAGAATAACTTTTTTCCTATTTGAGGTTAGATTGTATTTTTTGTTTGTTTTTTAAAAAAGCTCTGTCTTCAACTGATAAGCTTTTTAAGAGTGCACTTTCATTTGTTGCTACACAACGTCTAGCTCAGTGAAGGCAGTTGCAGTTACACTCTGGAAACTATTTCAATAGAAACATTTATTAATATTTATTATGGTAGCTCATTGGTGACAAAGAACTGTGAACCATAGCTGGAGAGCAGCCTGGCTTACTGTAGAAACAAAATGGTCCTCCACGTGGAGGAAGAACAAACTGTTTCACTTGGACTTTCTGTTTGTAAGAACACTGTGCCTAGTTAATCATGTTAATTTGAAAGTAGGTCGTTATCTGCAGCTGTACATCCTAACAGGCCAAAGTTGGATGAGTAGCACAGAAAATTTATAGTGGCTATGCTTCTTGCTGAAGTGAAAAATAGTGAGGAAGCTGATGTGTTCATCAGTTTTGGACAAATTTTCCTAGCAGTTCTACACATTAAATCTGTTGAGGATGAGGAGATTAAGGATATATGAGTAAATTGTATTAGAATTAGGCTTCTTTTAAGAAATAGAATATTTCATGGAGATGATAAATTTCACATGAAAAATTTGATTGTTTTGTGCTTAGGAACTATATAATCAAAGAACTATGGTATGTGCTTACTGACCTGTGGTAAAGACAGGATAGACTTACAGGAATAAAACTGGGAATAATGTGTTTGTGTGTGTGTCTATGTGTTGTATATGTGTTAAGTTTATGTGTAGAAAACTAACTCAAAGTTTCTCAAATTAAGTAGACTTTTGCTTCAGATTAGAAACATAATAAACTGCAGAGATTCAGAAGGCTTGGTTGTATATTCCTATGTCTTTTAGATGTTCAATTATGTGAAAATCAGGAAACATTGGTAAAAATTAGCCTAGGTTTGGAAAAACTGATAAAAGCAGAGTTAACTTGGAGCAATAGTTTGTCAATAGTTGTATGTGAAGAGTAGTTTGACAAAACGGAAATTTTATTTAGTAATTCAGATATAGTGAATTTTGTGGGGTGCAAAGTTGCAGGAAGGATTGATTGTTTCTTCATATGAAACTATAAAGGGTGACATTGCCAGTTTTCTTAAGTCTTGTGAATTGTTTATCTGCCAGTATTCCTGAAAGATACAGCCTTCAATAAGGTGGCTTTATCTTCATCAAATGTTTGAGAATTAAGATCAGAGGATCCTGTAATAGGCTTACTTTTACATAGACTTTGAGGGGTTCACCATAAGTGAGGTATTAAGCACATAAATTTTACATCATTAGACCCTTACTGATAAAATAAAGTTCTTAAGGTTTTTAAAAATACTGGTATTAAATCCAACGTTGTCTTGATTCAGGTGTTGGAGCTGCTCGAGCTGGAAACCTTACTTTCATGGTTGGTGGAGTGGAACAAGAATTTGATGCTGCCAAAGAGTTGCTGACATGCATGGGTTCTAATGTGGTCTACTGTGGAGAGGTTGGAACCGGACAGGTAATGCTCACTGAGGCCTTAACTAGTTATCTCAGTCTTTTTTTTCTTGTTGTTGCTTTGTTTTTCTTTAACGATACCTACTCTTTTATTTTAGAACTGAATGCATTATAATATATCTTCACACTTGTTTGCTTGTTTACTTGTCTTCAACCATGTGTTTATAAAAAAACTCATGGCATTCTTCTCCAGCATGTTGTATAGCGTAGCACCAAAACATCTCACCTGCTGCTTCTCCACATTGGCTTGTTGAGATTATACTTCTTAGAGGACACAGATTTTAATTTTGTTTCTTCTAAATTTGGATTTATTGAATGTTCTGAAGGACAAAGAGCCTCTACATGCCACATGTACTAACTGAGCTACTGTTAAGAAAAAAAGTGTTTTCTAATTTCTGAAGGAACCATAGGGCAGCTTTCATTGACTTTATACTATTGTAGATCTGTGCTCACTGGTGCTACCTTTAGAAGAGAGCTGTCAGAACATATTTGATTGTACTGTCCTGGACCTAGTTACAGAAGATTCCTACATGTTAGCTCTGTGAAAATGCAGAAACTAATTGACAGTTTAACTTATTTTCAGGCTGCAAAGATCTGCAACAACATGCTCTTGGCCATCAGTATGATTGGAACTGCTGAGGCTATGAATCTTGGAATCAGGTTTGTTTGGTTTTTGTATTGGATTGAAGCATTTTTTCTGTGTTAGCCATTCTTGTGTTTTACGGCTGACTTTTGCTGAGGCAATGATGATTAGATGGCATAGATAAACTTTTGCCAGAAATTCTCTTATAAAGCCATTAACATGCTAAAGGGATTATTTAATTAAAGTAAGGCTCTTCAGAACAGGAATATTCTCTTGTATTAGCTGTATAGATTGTTGCATTCTGCATCTGAAGTTAAGAGTTTATTTGTTCTGCTGTAGTGCAATGCACAGTTATGTTTGTCTTGCATTGTAAACATGCAGAGGCAATATAGAGTTAACTTTTTGTTTGTATTCTAAGCTGATGTACAGTGTATTCATGGTATTATACTCCCATATGGCTCTTGTTGGCTTTGTTTACTTTGTTAAATTGCTCCAAAATATATTGTAAAGTAAAACTTCTAGTACAGTGTGTATATTACATAGCATAAAAGCATAAAAAAGAACATCTACCTTCCTGTTTGACTTTACCACTGCAGTTGGTCCTAATTGCCAAAACTCTTGCTTTGTCAAAAAGCTGGAGTGTGTTCCACTATACTCTTGTCAATGCTAAGACTATGGTTTCTTTTCTAGCAGGTGATGCATCTGACTTGTAAGTGGCAACATATTCAATCAAAATTATTTTCCCTTTCCAATTGTAATCTATTTATTTTGCTGTGGTCTTTGAGATTTTGTTTTGTTTTCTGATAGAGCGCATACAAGTACTAGTTCAGTATCACAGTATTTGAACCTTCATAAATTCTCTTAGCCAGATCTAAATCATTTGCAAATTTATAGACAGAGAAGTCCTATGTTTGAAGAGATTATCTTGCAATTGTGTATCTTTTAAGGGCTCTTCATGAATTATTTATCTGCACAGTTACATCCTTAAAATTGGCCTGTTAAAACTACAGATACTGTAGATACTTATCAGCTAGGCTTTAGACCGTGTGTTCATGTGGATTTGATACACTATAAAAACAGCAAGAGGGCATCAAATGCTTAAATAAATAAAAAAGAACGCCTACATGTGTGCACATACACGAAGCAATGTAATGGATTCAGATTTCCTCTTAATTACCATATCAAGATGCAGTTGTTTTATTGAATTGCCCTTGTCTCAGATGTTAGACTATCTTGACCTATTAAGTTGTCATGTTGTAATTGAGATAAAAGAGGAATTTGCTTTGCATCAGTGCTAATTGGTTTATCAATATCCTGTACCATTTACATTTTAAAATTGAGAGTCTGTAAGATACTGAAGCATGTCTGCATCAAGCCATAATAAAAACAGTAGCATTGTATACAACTGTTGTAATCCAGTGTAGTATAAAGCTTTCATCAGGTCCTGTTTTAAGTCATGGTTCACTTAGTAAAGCATATGCAACTGATTTTTCATTATATTTTTATCTGCATTTGTAGGAATGATTAGAGTTAGAATTGAAGATAAAATAAAATCAAGAGGTTTGGAGGACAGATATTCTGTGCATGTAAGCCCTATGCAGAATGAGTTGATGTCTGCAGTCACTGTAGCTTGAAGGTGGTTAGAATTTTCATTTTTCATTTGTCCTTTTCCGGTTTAAATTTTGGCTGAATTTGTATTCAACATTTCTGAGCAAAAATCCAGTGTGAAGATGGCAATATACAAACCTTCCTACCCTACAATCATGGTAATTAAGAAGGAACTGTACTTACCGTAGAAGAAACCTGCTGATTGTAACATGAATTATACAAAGAGCAGAATCTCTTTTAGTCTGAAACTGCATGAAGTTTAAGATAGAGGCAGCAATTTAAAGCCTTATGAAGTAATTTAGAACCCTTGCATTGATTTTAATGTGCTGTGATTTAAATCCTGGAGAAGATGACTTCTGCTTATAACTAGAATAAGAGCTTTCTACTTTTGGTGTGTACAAATTTCTAATGTACAAGTTAGCAGTTGTAATTCTAATTATTGGAAGTTTTACTATATTAATACATTTATAAGAAATTTTTTTTTCAAGTCTAAAACTCAAAGGATATTGTGGCTGCCTACTCTGGAGAGTGTAGGAAGCTTAACTTGATTTATTAGATTGATGCATATCTGGTAAAGAAAGTCTGACTCTGACCTAATAATGGTAAAGGACACTGGAAATCTAAAAAAATCATAATAAGAATTGTGGAGCTTAGACATGTTCTTAACTTTTAGATAGAATATAAAATATCTTCATGTTCTACATTGTGTAGATCTGCTACATCATTTAAATCTTGAGTTTTAGGGACTTTGGATAAATAATTATGAAAATATTGCTGACTGAACTAGATGTAACTAGAAAGTCATATTACAGCACCTTCCAGAAACCAATATATACTCTGAATTTAAGTCTTCAGAACAGTGTGATACTAATTCTATTAATAAACCCCTTCTTCTCTAATGTTTTCATAAACTATGCAGCTTAAATTTTCATTTTCTGAAGCAGAGAGTTACTGTTTTATTAATTTCAGATTTTTAAATTACATCTGCTATTGTTTTATTTATTTTATATTTGAAATTACAGAATTTTTCCAAACTTCAACATAAGCAGCAAATAGAGTGTGGTGAGGAGGAAGGAAAACTGGCATTAATGAGCAAAAATTCCACAATAAACTCCCAGAAAAACAGGCAATATTGCTACATAATTTCTGTATTTATATTCCACTTGCTTTTCTGTTTTACTCTAACATCATCCTCATTTACTAATCATCTTCATTTACTAATGAAGATGTCTGTTTTCACTGGAAGTGATTAGGTTTAGATTCTGTAACTAATTAAAAAAAATCTATCCTGAGTTCTGACCACTGATATGCTTGTTTTGTTATGTTTTGTTTTTTCCATTAATTTCCTGATGCTTTATGAATGTTGCTAGTAAAAGTTAGAAGGTATGCCAGGCATTCTGGAAATGAATTCAGGTTTTCATTTGTATTTTCTTTTTTTCTAGCATGATAGTGCAACTTGTTAGTAGAAAAATCTTGAGTAGATTTTGCTATACAGTTTTATGGATATGTGCATATTGCAAAATACAGTAGTGACTTACTGTGTCAAACCAACACACAGAGTACATGTAAACTTCACAAATAAGAAATAAAAACATTAAGTGATACTGTCCACAGCCAGAGACTGTTTTTCTTTTTGCTGATCATCTCAGTGTCAGAATCTTTCCTTTTCTGACCTCTCACTTCCAGTTTAATAGTGTCTAATACTAGCAAAATAAAACTTGGAAATGAAATATTGCTGATACCTCATTTGTGTTTAGGTCAGATGGAAGTTGCTGGCTCTCAGGCAGTTTGTGGTCCCTTCAGAAACTGCTTGCACAGACTCAGGGAAGGGCTTATGTGGTGACACAAGATAGGACAAGGTTGCTTAATACGGTTGGGATGTAAGGGACCAGGAGAGCTATAAGGGCTCTATGACAATAACCTCACTGCAAAATCGCTTTTGTACTTCCAACAGCAGAGAAAGTCATCTGTATGAGGACGGACTGCAGTGGCACCCAGATTTATGCCAAAAGCTGCAAATACAGCTCTCTCCGAAGCAATTTTACTGTATACCGATTTGTGCCTGCTTGCTTTTTTAGATATATAAAGTGAAAAGACAGTAAACAAACTTTGCCCTCTGACGCTAAGTCTAAAGATAGTTTCAGCCCCTACATCTGGTTTCTGTGAGCACCCCTGGCCTATAGATGGAAGACGAGCAGAAAGGGGAGTCAAGAGCATAGAGGAACATGTGCTGCTAGCTGAGGGATGATTAACCCTGAGCACATTCCGACTGCAAATTTTAGAAAGCGTGCCTTGAAAAAGAATTCCTCCAAGAGCCCTGTGGCTCTGCTGTCTTCGGCATGGGGCTATAGCTAAGTCTTGTGAAGGTTAGTAATGACACTTGAAAGCACTTACCTTGTTTAAAACACCAATGGCAAAGTCATTTTTAGCTGTGGTAGAAGGGTCCTAAGGTTCTGCTTGAATATTTGCAACTTCGTATGGTATTTATCCAAAGCACCTTGAGATGGGAAACTCTCAACAGTTCAGCTACTTCAGTTGTTACACCTTAAAATGAGACCAGAACACATCTTTTTTGTGAGATGCCATTTCAGTTTTTCTGTCTGTTCCAGACTGAACTCTTGGAGGAGTGTATGAAAATTTCAGTACATGGTTTTATCAAAGCTCAGCAAAACTTGAGTTTTGAGTAGTAGCTCAAAGCATTCCTGTTTTAGCCATTTTTTTTTTATGTGTGTCCGTTGCTGAGTTTCTGCTGTTCAGTTCATTAGGAGTGTTATTGAAGAAGCATTGATTTGAGGGAAGCAATTGTTTTTGTTCTATTATAAGTACAGTTAATACATGGACTTCTTTTCTGCTTATAAGGGAGAAGAACATTTTGGTAATTGTAAATTCACATGCGCATGCACAAGCTTTTGCCACGTCCAATGGCAAGTTGTTATGGGGACTGGCAGACTGTCATCATTTTGATAGCTTGAGCAGTATATCTCTTGAACAGCAATGGAGCTCTTATGCAGAGAGTATCATATGTTCCCAGCCAATTTACAGGGAAACAGCAATAACATTTTATCATGGTTGAGAGCCCAGTAGCTGCTTCCTATTAAACTTGCCCTTTCAGATACCTGTCTTGGATTAATTTGTTGATTTCAAATGGAAACTCAGTCTTCTCCACTGAAGCATGACTTTCTAGGATAGACTCTCACTGAATGACAATTACTGTATATTCTAGCTGGTTTCAGACCATTACAAGCTTTGGGCACAGTGGAAGACAGAGGACTTCTTCAGTAACTGATTTTAATATATGTCTAATTTTAACTGTCAGTTATGTATGCACCAGTGGATGAATCCTCAGAAAGATGAAATGCAAAGCACTTCTAACTTGCTCTTATTAATGATACACTTGCTGCAAAGGAGAAAAAAAAAATAGGTTCGGGTCTCCTGAAGAGAATCTGCGTGGTGTTTAAGAGCAATGAAGTTTGAAGAAGCAGGGATTTAAACTGACGTTATCTTCCTTTTTCTTTTCCTAGAGAAAAAATATGCCAGATCTAGTGCAGACAACATTTTACATATCTGTATAATACACACATATCTTTTAAAGTATACTTTCACAGAGAGGTAGTAGGAACACTGTGAGAAGAGCATTCTTCGGGAGGGTTATATGCATTTTGAAATAATAAGCTCTCTGTCTTGTGGTATACTTGCAGCTGTAATTACAGGCCTCTCCATGCAGCTAGATATGGCACAAGCAGGCACTACATTGCTAAAAATACTGATCTGGATGTAAGAACAATAAGGAAACAAACAAACCAAGAGATTTGTTTTGGCCAAAAAAGCAACCTCTGTGTATTTGAAAGCTCAGGTGTTGTCTGGTCCCAGTGCAGGCTTTTTGGATGACAACAATTAAAGCAGTTATTCAGAGTGGCTCTTGACGAAGACTTTGATGCACTATGGAAGATAAAAGTACAATTCAAATACTGTGAAAACCTACTGGTGCTGGAAAATACTTTTTTTTTTAAATAAATGGCCGTTGAAAGCGTTCAGTTGAGTCAGAGGGTTGGAAAAAGATGGGGAGGAGAATAAAGCTTGATCCATTCAGGCCAGCAGCATACTTTCCATTGAATTTCAGGGGCTGCAGCAACTCTTATGAGACTGCACAGCAATAACGCTAAAAAGCTACCTTTGCAGTACAGAAGTGCTTTGCATTAGGAGGGCAGAACTGCAGAGACCCATGCCATTATGGGAACAGGAACCATGCTGTAGCGCCCACTGTCTTAAATGTAGTTTTTCAAATCCAAACTGCCTACTGGAGTAAATAGACATAAATTTTAGCAACTATTCCATTGGTAATGAGCTTTAGTTACCTACAAATTAAAACCTTGAGCGCTACAGTGCCTGGAATCGGTGTTAGGATCCCTGTGGCTATGGAGATCTGCAAAAAGTCTGTGGTGTAAGAGCTAATGTAAAAAGCGTTGTCTTCTATAAAGGTTAAAGCTCAGATGGAATTGTGTGGAAAAGGTGTTGTTTTATTTTTAACCTGTTTGCTTGTCCATAGCAAAGTAGGTTGTGATATATCCCTTTTAAAATGTCCTTTTCTCATCTTGGATTGTTACTGAGGATAATTCCCTTGCTTGCTGCTTTGTCATGAGTGTAACTGAACATTTGTACAGGGACGGATAAACTGCTGCTGCTCATTGTTGGTATAAACGTAATTGGTGTAAAATTACACTTGCAACTTGGTATCAGCATAAATGTGAATCCATAAAAGGGTTAATTTTCTGTAGTATTGAAGTACTTTCAGGGTCCACATTGAGCAGGGGTTTATGCCATCAGCTTTGTGATAGAACAAATGACGTTTCTACTTGGACAAGCTTTGTTTTATTAGGATCAGTAACCTTATCAAGAAGTTGACCCAGAACTATAATGTATGTTTGTGAATAGATAACATATGTCACAGTGAGAGGCAGACTTGCCTCATAAGCCAGAGTATATAAAGAAGATTTAATAATAGCAAAGCAAAGAATGTACAGATGTATACAACAGTAATATTTTTTGAGAAGTGTAGTGGTTTTGTTCACCTATTAGAGCAGGATCATTTGCGTTATCTTGCTTACATCAAAAATATACTAGTGTGCCTGTATAAACACATCGCACAAGTACTTTCACACTGCCACACTTGCTTGTGAACTTTTTGCTTTGTTCAGCTTTTGAGCATATAATTTTGATATGAAGAACAAGTATGTGACCTAGTAGGTAGCAGAACAGAGAATGCGTTTTAGTAATTTAAATATGAGGGAACTGTTGTTCTCAGAGGACCTTTATTTTGCTTGCGTGTTCAAAATGGCTATGTGGAGGGGATTTACTTAGTGGAAAAGGAAAAAAGCTCTGAAAACCTACTGCTTAAATGGTGGATTGATGGTCTTTAATTTCAGATACAGCATCCCTACCCCCAATATCAATACCCTGTCATTTTTCATGACTTATAATAAAGGGAGAGAAATTATGGTAGGGTCCTAAGATATAAAACAAGTCACCCATGTCTTGTGCATTTTGACATTAACACTTCTCTTCCTTGACCTTTGACAGATTAGGCCTTGACCCAAAGCTGCTGGCCAAAATCCTGAATATGAGCTCAGGTCGCTGTTGGTCAAGCGACACGTACAACCCTGTTCCTGGAGTGATGGAAGGAGTGCCATCTGCTAATAATTATCAAGGTGGCTTTGGAACAACACTCATGGCTAAGGTACGTAATACTTGCATGTAAAGTATGTACAGTTGCTTCTCTCTGGACTTCTAGCAAATATTCTTCTCAGGGAAAATTTATGATTATAGGGGAATAGTGTGCATGAACAGAGGGGAACGCAAGCTCTTACTCTGAATTAATGAGTTGAGTAGGGGGCTTTTCCTTAGCCTCCAGCCTCTTTCTAGCCACTATTACTGCTGAGCAACTCAATGAGGTTATATGCGCTGTCTTTTTGAGTTCTGCCTTAATCCAGGAGACCTGGTGGACTTGCGTGTATGGCAAGCATTCAGCCAGCCATTTCAGGTGCCTCTTGCATGACTGCTCTAGAACTTAGGAGCCTAAGCTCAAGAGAGCAATTTGGGGAAATCCAGGTGACCTAATTAGGTGCGAATAGTGGCATAAGCATCTAAGATTTTGGGCCCAGTCTCTTCCGGATACCTTAAACTGTGCTACTGGACGTGCCCTCTAGCACCCCTTTCCTTGCTAAGCCCACTGCCTATGTGCTTGTCTTTCAGCCGAAGGCCATTCTGCAGAAAGCAGACAGGTTTTAACCCACACCCCTGCAGACTGATTTTCTGCAGGTACTTGCACCATGCTGTGAGCTCTCCTGAGTTGTTTTTGTTGGTGGCAGAAGTAATGCTTCTTATGAGTACTAACCTAGTAATGTGAATTATTTGTCCACAAAGTGGAAGATCTGGGTTTTAGGTCCTTCTCAGCATGAAGTTGTAACCTACAGCTATCCCATCCCAGGAGAGTACTCTTACTGCCATGCTCTTGGCTGTTCTAGGAAAAGCACTGTCCTGAGTCACTCTGTGGTCAGGAAAGCAAAGCTCTTAGAGGCCAGGGGAAAGTAGGCAAGGAGGTCAGGGCTCTGCATCCCACTGATGAAGACACACAGTTGGAGAAAGGAGCTGTAGAACTCTGACTCTTGAACTACTATTGCATTTAGCACGATTGCCTAAGGTAAATTATAAAACCAGCCCTGGAAGAGATTTCTCATCTAAGCATGTAAGCGCAGGAAATAACTTCACACTGAAATCCCACACGGGATACTGTCCTGAGGGAGGCATCTGAGTTCATACAAGACAGGTTTTAGGCATACCAGTTTATTGAGTGCTCCCAACTGGTTAGGCATTCTGGCCATTTGCAGCTCTTCCACGTACAGTGGAAATTAAGCACATAAAACTAAAATAACATTCTCAGAGCTCATGATCAAACTCAGATATTGCCATGCAAATCTCCACAGTGCTGGAGTTCCTGTATGTAATACCTGCCTACTGATACTGTTCCTGTTGTTTTGCAGTTGAATTATGTCAATTGGTACATTTGCACATTTGGTAGAATTAGCCAAATTCTGCCCAGGGTGGGTCCAAAGTGTTTTGCATGTGGTATCACCAAAAAATTTTGCTAAAGCTGCATGGCTCAGAACCCCTCAATGGCTGGCCTGCTACATTTTATGTTTATGGACCAACAACCAGGAGCTTGCATTTCTTTGAGGGATGTGTTAAAATATTGCAAAGCAGCAGTTTTTATGTCATGTTCACGTCATTGAACATAGGGGACAATAAAGTGTTATTTAAATTATTGATTTATAAAATGTGTTAGGTTATTGTTTGGAGTTTGCCAGGGCTATTGATTAGAGATAAGCAATCTGATCTTGGCACTGCCTCAAAGCTCTTGTTTCCATCTTGTGTGCTGTTTTCAGAATCTGTTGTGCCTGCTGTGCCCTGTTCCACACTGCAGTCTCTGTTCTCATGATTCTTAACTCTTACTCTTGTCCAGAATAACCTCATAGTATAAATGGGATGGGGGCACATATGTCCTTCCCTCCCTTCTAAATTTCTTTGAAAAGGGTTTTTTTCTTTTGTTCTGCTTCTAAGAGGGATCTTCATCTCCTCTGGAAGCTGCCTTAAAAGATCTTCCTTTCATTGGAGGAATAGTAGCCTGGCTTGTGCCTGGTTTTGGTTATAACTGCCAGCTTTTGGTTATAAAGCATCAGTGATAACTAAGACGAGAGTTCCTCAGGGAGGTTTGTAATTGCTGTTCACCTCTTCTGACTATGCCTCTTCTGCCAGTCCTGCCTGCTAGGCAGCCTGAAGACTGTCGTCTTCAGGCTGGAATCCTCAATAAGAAGGAAAGACACTAAATTCCTCTCATGCCTCTTGAACAATGCCATGTTATTCTATATAGACAGAAGATTACTTGAATGAGTAAGTAACCAAGATAGCTGCTCATATTCAAGGTATTATTTGGTGCAGTGGTGACCTCTTTTAAAACATTTCTCCATAGTTTGTGGAAAAACTTTTGCTACTCTCTCTTTCATCCTGGTATGTGACATTGTGAATTGTTTGAGTTGGGGACTTTTTTTCTGGGAAATACTGAGCATGCTTTTGCTACTTAAGAAAGGAGAAAAGCTATATTCAAAGGAGAAAGATGTAGGTACAAGCCTGAGGTTGAGAAGAGAATAGTCCACAATGAAAACATCTAAGAGTGACTCAGTAACACAGTCACTAAACACAGTTACTAAACTTCAGGTTACTGCTCACATATAAGCTGTGGTAGAAGTCAAAGGCTTTCTTAAAAGTATTTTGTCACCAATGGATCTCTCAAACAGAGCCAGGGCATCCTTATTTTAAGTGTTTGGGACAGAAAAATGTCAGACATAACTGAAAAGCTCTTCAGTCTTGAAATCTGATATTGAAACCTAGAATTTAGTCAACTTAATGTGAAATCTGCTCTAAAGATTTTGCATTTAAAAAATCTAGTTTTCTTCCCCTTGCCATCTTTGTGTCTGAAGCATTGCAGGCCAGAAGTTCCGTCTTTCATTAACAGCACAGTTGCTAATTAAATGTCTTCTTTGAATCCTGAGAAGAGCTAGATTTATATCATACTATTCTTGACTCATGTCAAGACAGTCTTTGAGCTTTATTCCGAATGGCAGTTTCATTTACATCAACTGCAAAATAAATGTAAGGAACCAGGTATTTCCAAAGTGACCACTGGAAGCAGATTCTGAAAGAGAATCTGTTTCCCTATTCCAAGCTGAAAAAAAGTGGTTAGAATAGTCGGTACAGGGAGACATCTGGAAGATGTTGTCAGTTCCAAAAGAGTATGAGAGGACCCATAAACTATGCTGTGATTTTTACTTTTCCAAAAAGGTCAGCAAAGGGCAAATTGCTTTCAGAGCTGTTTTGTACTATTTACTTGAGGAATCTCCAACGTCAGGAGAAAAGGTGCAAAATACTTTACAACCTGAAGCTAAAGATAAGCTTTACTTACATTTTGGGTTTTTTTTCCCTTCAAAGCTCTAATTTATAGAACGGAATTTAAAAAAACAAAGCAACCTTCCAGCAGTTCGGAGTCAGGAGTCCTTGTCTGATGTTTCAACCATCTTGGAGCCAGAGTTTCATTATTAAAGTGAACTGACCTGCTTCATGAAATTGTATTTGTCCTAGCAGTCTACTCAGAATTTTCAGGGATTGCTTCTGTGAATGCCCCTTCAGAGAGAAATAGATCACGATCACCACTACCCAAACCAAGCACCTTCACTAGTTTGGAGTTGGATGATTTTGCCATTCAGTATTCTGTGACATGATTTAAGCTATATTGAATAAACAAGAGATTTCACAAAGAGGGTTTAGAAGAGGCTAGGAATATGTCATGGAAGATCTTATTGTAAGTGAGGTTAAAGTAAGTGTTCCTAGATTTGTCAGGTCGTCAGTCTTTCAACAGAATTGTTAGACAAGAAGGAATGATCTGTGCTGATGCAGATGAAGAATATTTTGGATCCTGTGACATCTGATATGTATGTTTTTCCCATTTTCCTAGATCTTGAAGTCATTCAAGGGTAATAGGAAGAGTAACTATAATTCTGATTTGTATCAGAATGACCTTTATAGAGCCGATTTACAGATCAAAGTGACATTTAGAGAGTAGAGTAAGATCTTGAATTTCCTTGTGCTAATTCAAATCCAGACACACAGAAAGTAAAGACCTGTCTTGTAAGTCATCCCTGAGAAGCCAAAGGTGCTCTCAGCAGTACTACAGTCACTCAGTTCTTCTGTATCAAAGATTTGTTATTTTAAAAGAAGTAATAACACTGCAAATTCTATAAACCAACATAGTCCTGGGTGGACAGCAAATCTAGGCACTTCCTAGTAACACTTGAGAGGTTCTTGTGCAACTTTCATGAAATGTGGACCGCAAAATTGATTTCTCTAGCAAGACCTTATAAAGGCAACCTTGAGTGCAGGCATTACTTTCATAGTTAGACAGAAGATCTGTTTATACACCCAGGGCCTTGTTAGCTTTTCTTTCTTTGGTTGGTTTTGTGTCTGATTCAGCTTAGAATTCAGGACATCCTCCAGTCTGGCTTGTCATTTCTGTCCAGAATGCATGCAAGCAGACTATTTCTAGCTAACTATGGTTAGTCATAGTACCCGGTACTTGCCTTTGAGTTCTGTCCTGTTTATCTCAGATTATAGCTGTAGTTGACCAAGGAGTCTGGAGGACAAGTTTCAAATTCATCCTCCTTGCATCCTCCCCTCCTTTTTTTGCACCAAATTTAGCGTTTAAAAATGCAGTAGAATTATTTTCTGTATACCTTTATCTTCAGTCATTAAAGAAAACTTTAAGTTGTAGCAGACCCAGGACAGTCCCCTAAGGAATTATTTAATACACCCTTCCAGTTAGGCTGCAAACCATTCACATTCACAAAGTGGCCTGTGCCTCTCATTTTGCTATTAACTGGTCACATTACCGTAAATGTATGTAGGCTAAGTGGGTTCAATTTTGTTGTTATTCAAATCCCCCACTTGATTTTTAACCTGTTTTTAGAAAGAAAGATGTCCTCTTCCCCAAACAAGAAAATGACGCCATTACAACCTATGTGAAATGCTTAAATGAATAGCCAGGGAAATTTTATTTTTGGAGGTGACATAAAAAAGTGGGGAGAAAGAGTCTGAGTCTTGCTACTAGGTTGTATAGTGATCTAGGATCTTAAAATTCCTCCTGTCCTGAAGGAGGTTGCATGCCTTGCAAAGTTTGGGTTTTTTCTGTTGAATAACATTGAGTTGCTGTTTTAAAAATTAAAAGCTAAACAAGGCTCCCTTCTTCCAGGACTGAAATTTTAAGGCTGGACTATTGTATTTGTTGGCAGTAGAGTTTTCTTCACAATGGAAGCCAAATAACCTATAATATGTACATGGCTATTTATATCCTTGTTGTTTCTCCCCTGACTTTTTCTCTTTTTCCTTCCTTCTGTTCTTCCTCTCTGCCCTCTTCCCCCCTTTTCTCCCTCCCCACAGGACCTTGGCTTGGCCCAGATTTCTGCCACCAACACAAAGACGCCAGTTCCTTTGGGATCCCAGGCACATCAGATCTACAGGATGATGTGTGCAAAAGGCTATGCCCTGAAAGACTTCTCAGCTGTGTTCCAGTTTTTACGTGAGGAGGAAACCTTGTGAGCTGTCCTTTGGAAATGGACACAGTAACAAACCACATTTTTTTATCCCTATAGCTCATTTGAGACGTATGTGGGTTTCATCAAATACTGCGCATCCTGATCCCATACAGACTAATCATCTTTGGTTATCTAGATCACAATGAACTCCGGGGTTTTTTCATAATTCTTGAAAAAGCAAGCCAGAGGAAGGGATTGTTTGGCAATTAGCCAGACAGTGATTTCTTTTTTGTTTTAAAAACCATCAAAGTTTTTTTTTTTCACTAGATGCAATAAATAAATATTTTTTTTATGAAACACTTAACTGTTTGCATATAAAATAACTTTCATTATGGCTACAAACTTAGGTGACTCTTGAATAGTAAGACAATGTTATATAGTGATTTTATTATATATTAGTGATCTATTAAAATTAAAAATTAATACTTTATGGAAAAAGAGAAGATATGTTCAATGAAGAAACACGGCTTGAGATGGATTTTTTTTTCCTTGCACCTGCTAGCCTTGAGTTGATCAGTAGTGAACTGTTCCTGGGATTCAGGTTGCAGATTAAGTTTATAGGCACGTGTTTCTAAGTGGAGAGCTGTTACAGCATGTTTACCTGATAGACTTAGTTAAAATAACATAGAATGTGTGTCCCTCTTGTAAAGCTCCGTTATTGTATTTTGCTAACCCAATTTTATATTTTCTTGTATTCTGTCACACATTTTCAGAACTCAAGAACAGCACTTATCAGAAGTTCTAACAAAGCGTATATTTGTTTTAGGTAATTACTGAAGTATTTTAAATCTAAACAAACCCCATTATTTTGAAAAGAAATAAAAATCTATACTGGTAAATACTTGCTGTATGATTATTTGCTTTTTGTTTTGATGCACTCTTGTACACATATCATTAACCAAAAACTTGTACTAAGTGGTCTTATTCTTTAATTTGCTTGGTTTTCTACAGATTATCTTGCAAAACCAAGCTTTTCAAGAGCTCTTGTTGTGAAATGCAGATGGTAATATATTTGCATCTGTATTACCTTAACCATTCACCATCTCCTTGGTCTTGCAAAAATACAGGTACACATTTGGCTTTATGAATATAAATACATATGTTGATTTTGCTAGAACTTCACATTCAGACTTATTTGCAGGCTCTAGGCTTAATGGTTAATTATGCATTTACATTTCTATTTTGGTTGTACGATGGATCCTTTTATATATGCACATTTGGGTTACAAAATTGTGTGCTTGAATTAGCTCAGGTCTGTGAATAATCTACTGAGAACTTGGACATTATATTTTAACACATTAGTAACATTATACAAAAGCCATTAAACAGTACCGGTTGATCTGTTCTCCTTTCAGTTTTCTTTGAAAACTGTTTGACATTCTAGGTTATTCAGGGATTTGGGGCTCATTAATGTTATATATGAGTGTAGGACTACTGGGAGCAATCTTACTTTTAAAAAATTGTTCATCTCTCTTTCAATAAAACTACTGTTTCTACAGGATTGCATTCATTCCTTGAAATTAGATGCAAAACTACCTGCACTAAAACTATTAAAATTGCAAAGTGAACCACTCAAGTGCTGGAACACAAAAACAGGGAACCATAGCTGCAGATGGGTCGTTCAACCCTTGATACCAATATCGCATACTATAACATTTATTTCTGTGGGACTCCTGCCTCACATAATGCAAAGGATGGACCTAGTCTCAAAATGAATTTGAGGCCATGTAGTGAAGGACGTTTTTGCCAGGAGGATCCTTGGTCATTTCAAAGTTTTATAATGGATGAGGTAAGGAATTTTCGGAGAGTCCTGGTTAAGTTTTTGTCTCCTCTGTATTTGACTTGGAGTTCTGGCTGGCATCAGCAGGTCTGCTGAGAGGTGCATCCTTCTACTGCCCACCCCAGCCTGTGGCAGTGTTTGCTGTGAATGTGTTTGCCCGTAACCCTGGGCTTACCTGTAACCCTGGGCTCGCAGGAAGCATAATCAGTTGTTTTGTGAAGACATTATATGCACACATAAACGTTGGGAGCCATGAGGAAAGAGAATACGCTCAGCGAGACACACTCTGAAGCTTTTAGCTTCTGAAATCATAAGATCTCTGTTAAGCATGTGGAACCTTCGTTATTATTTTTATGTTTCTCCCAAAAGCTTGTAGCTTAGGCTTCCTGGGGTTCATTTCTCCTCCCCCGCAACCTCTGATCAAATTTTAAATTCCTACTCTGAAGCACAGGGTGCTCAAGTTGAAGTAAAGGCTGCCAGAATGCTATTTTGGCAAACCAACAAAATGTTCTGTGGTCTCCTTCTTGGAGGAGGATGTTGGCTGAAATTAAAAACAAAAAAAAACCCAAAAAACCCCAGCTTCAGGGCAGCCAGCCAGCATGTAAAATTTTAGAACAAGCAGTTAGTTTGGCAAAGTTAGAAACAACTTTTTAAATAAGTCTTATTATGGAAAGTGCCTTGAAACCTTTAATGATGTCCAATACCTGAATCCAGTAATACAATTTATATTACAATACACATTTTTTTCCTAATTCTGCAGGGGAATATTGTGTGACTGGATACATATAATGGTGGTGGTATTCATGCTAGCTCTGGCTATTCTGCATGTGCATATGTATATAATGTCTCTTTTGCTCTGCATGGGACATACTTCTGGTCTATGGAAATTAAGCAAGTACTAAAACTATTGTCACTACCAGAAACAGGTGTTGAAAACAGTAATTTGTTGAGTTGAACAGAAAGATTGTAAAATCGGCTGAATTTCTACACTAATTACCTCCCAGTACATACACACAAATTAGGTGCAACAAATTAACTGCATATTTTGTAAATGTCCCAAAGGGAAACTTGAGGTAACTTCTTTTTAAATTAGTTTGAATGTTAAACTAGCCCTCCCATCATGCTTACTTTGGAAATTCACCTATATCAAATGCATTTATTGACTAACAGGAAAGCATTGACAACCAATAAAAGTAGTGATGGTTTTAAAAAAAATCCTAAGCAGCCTTCTCTCATTTATGATTCAGTATAACCCGTCTTAAGCAACTATTTTTGGTGGTCGTTTAACAGAGGAGGCCTTCTATTAAAGCTGCTGAGTACTATATTGCTTTAACTTTATTTATGGCTCTTACAAGCCTCGGGAGGAAGAGGAGGTATTCTGACCAAGTAAAAGTATTATATGTGATATTCTGGCTCTGCTTTAATCAATGGGAATTTTGCCATTAAGTACAATACTGCCAAGATTTCACAGTGTGTTGAATGCCCACGTGATTCCAGTGCAGATGTGGCCAAGATGGAGCTCTGGAGGAGCTCAAGCGCATCCCGCAGGCAGGGATTGTGCCACGTTACTGGCATCAGGATTATGAGAGATTGGGGTGGTGGCTGTGAGAGGAGAGAGCCAGCAGGAGCTGCTGAATTTGATATTGCCAGTCTCCATCCCAGCCTTGTCCCACAGTGAATGAGGGATGCTGAGTGGGACAGAATAGCTGCTGTACCTTCCTGCCTGAGAAAAGAGCTACCCACCTTTTCAGCTGTTTAAATCTTACGGCTGTTTTGCCACAAGAAGATTTATTAAATGGTTTATGGAATAGAAAGACTGGGGCTGCCCCTGGAGCAGGCAGACAAGGGCTACCATCATACAAGGGCTACTGTATTTATGCAATAGATGTCTTCCTATGCTTTTAGTCCACCAGCAAGACCCAAAGCTACCCAGGCACAACTCTGAGGGTACTAACTTCATTGGTAGTGATACCTGTTGCTTTTGATTTGTCTTTACATCATCATCACTGTATTCTCCTCTTTCATATAAAAATAGATGTAAGTCAGCTTTTCTCAAGAGAAGTTGAGAATATTGCCTGTCTTTACAAAGCTGTCTAATAAGTTGTGGAAACTTTGACGCAGCTTAGAAACCTCTGATGTGTTTTCTTGGTGCTCAACATGTAGAGCTAGGGTCCTCTGCAGTATTTTAGACTTACGGTTTGATAAGACCCCCTTAAAGTTAGGGGACTTTAAAATGGGAAGCCTTTTTATTAACTTCAGTATCAAGTTCTTAGAACTCTTACTTGCAAGCCTTGCAAAACTGAAAAACTGTGTTTCAGTATTGGGAGAAGTTTAGTTCAACATCTACAAATTAGAATAAATGGTACTTTTGAAAAGCTCGAGCTTTCAATAGCAAGGATGTCTTTGTCATTCTGTGCAACAGCATAATGGATGTATGGTCTTTAAAGGCTGCCGGTATTTCTAAGATTTGTTGCTTTCTAGACATGATTTGTCACAACCCATCCTGCCGGCTGGCACAGTTACACATTTTTTTTTTTCCCAGTAAGAATAATAGCAACAGTTACAAAGTTTTCTTAGGTGGACAGAGAATGAATATTTTTATGGTTGGCATGTTCAATAGATGTACGACATGGAACTAGGTATCCATATGGCAGTGATTTTCTTTTTTTGGTTTTGGCATTCATCATGGATTGTGAGCACTTGGGGTAAATTGAAACAGGTGGATAAACCTTTCTAAAGTACTACATGTCTCATAATAACTACTGTATAATTAAAAGTCATCTGGCTCTTTCTGCATTTACACCCAACTTTTCCTTTTGACCTTGACCCTGAGATGAGGTCTGGATTTTCATTTGAGGTCAGAGATAACTCAGTCTGTTTCTTCATTTAGTTTTACTGAGCCTCAATTAGTGGTGACAGTGTTCTGTTGGTTAAAGTAAATGCTATATATGGCGATAATAAATGTGCTAACATATGTTTTATGAAGTTCACTGATTTCAAAAAGACTTGGAGTGCTGACAAAAACAACTTAAATACATGTATTAAAAAGATAAGTTTGCATGTACCTGAAATACAGCTACCCTGGAAAGAAATGCAAATACTGCTACAATACATTTCAGTCCTTACAGTGTTTTTAGAAAAGGAATTAATAGTAATTCGTCTTGATGAAATTCAAAGGAGAAACCAGGCAAGTAAAAGAAAAGTAATAGCCTTCAAATGTGGTCAGATGTAAGCTTTATTTGGCCAGAATCAAGTGTTGCTGCTGTCTGTCTTCCAGTTTGAGCCGCATGATGAAACTAGTTTGGATTTATGCAGGCGACTTAGAGCACCAACAGCTGTGATGTGGAAAGTAACTTAAAGAACACTTCTTAAAATCTCTGAGCTGCCTCTTTGTTTTGAGTGCTTTCTTCCGAGAGATTTCATGGTGTTAACTGGGCTGTAGTCACTGGTTGCAGGCATACCTGAGCCAGCGCTAAGCTAGCTTGTTTGCATATCTGCAGCTCTCTAGTCCCAGAGGCTTTCCTGGGAAGCTGGGCAAATACTGAGTCAGCAGTGCTGTGTAGACAGCCTGTTTCCAGTAGCTAAACTGGCTAGTTTGTGGCTAGCAATAGTAGGTCATTTTTGCTTTCCAGTCATCATGCATGTTATTCCATGGCTATAGAGCCTGGAAGCTTCCAATGACCGATATGCAGTAGGCTAATGCATTGGATGTTGTAGCTGTTATCTGTTTCACAGCATCATCTTGGCAGTTTGTGCCCTGTTTTTTTCCACTGTTTGTACGATGCCTAGGACAAGTCCCCTTGGGGTTGTGTAATTGTGTCAGGCAGCTGTCAGTCTGCAGTCCACAGAAAAAACTTAACTTCAGTCACTCACTGGTGATTGAAGCCGGAACTTCAGGCAGATGGATTTAAGACATGCTTGGATTCCTCTGCATTTCTACATACAAGGTTTTAACACAAGCTTTACCTTGTTTGAATGTATCTATTGCACAGCACCAAGAGCCCACAGTATGTCAGTTGGTTATTTTTTCCTGTATTTGACTGCATTAGATCTGCATTCGC